ACATTTGACATCCCAGGCCAGGGGTCGATCACTTTTTGCAGTTGAATGTATAGACTATGACCGACTGCACCGTTAGGTAAATGTTGAGCAAAAGTCTCAGCAACTCGAGGGTCAGTAAACCGATTGAACACTTAAACAGAAACCAATAGACACTGGACTCCCTGTCCAGGGCCCGGTAGGCGTAAATCTGGTAGTAGAGTAGGGCCAGGTGTAGGACCAAAAACAGGCCACTGGCCAACACATGGTATGTCACATTTTTGAGCTCCCGGCGCAACAGCGGCATAATTACCGGCCCTTTCGGCGCGTCCGGCGATCCCCGGAATCGTCGGTTCAGTTTCCGGGCTTTCGTGTTGTGGTCAGACATTTGTGTCGCAAACTTATAGCTCGACTAAACTTTTTTTGGTCTCAACTTTTACCGATTGTTAAGAAAAACTTGTGAAACTCACAAAAACTAATTAATAATTATTATGATCACAAACATATTTAGTTTCATTTTAAGCTGATTTAAAAATTATAATTAAGTTTCTATCCATTGCCACAAAAACATTTCAAATTATGCTCTGTACACAATTTATTGTATATTAAAAGCATGTTGTTGCTTCTTATAATTATTAATTTGATAAACTCTATGTAAGCCAGCACATAAAAAGCATGTCACCCTTAATCACTAAGTTTTAATATCACACTAAATTTTGAAATTAGTTTTACTAGTTAAAATAATTTAATCAAGTTCATATTGATATGATTAATTAATTTAAAAATAACTAATAACTGGTGACTTACGTTATACTATGTGAGGCAAACTCGTGGCCCCGGGAGTACAGAGTCTGGACCTGTCCGTAGTCCGTCCACTCGTGCGACACGTAAAACGTGGCTCTAATGGGACAGCCGTTTGGATTTTTGCGGTCATCCGTGAAGATCTCCTCATATATATGCCAATTGACATCATTGACCGCGTCATCGAAGGTAATCATTATTATCTGTGGGATCTGTTTAGGTGTTAACCCTACTGTCCATACATTTAGACAAATAAAACATTAGTTTATAATTAGCCACAAAAATACAAAACTTTTTTGAATACCTGGGCTATCAATACCGCCACAGAAACAGTCCGGTAGTCGACACGACTTATCCGCGCACTTCTGGGCCGTTAGGTAGGGGTCGGGCGTTGGGAACAGATTGAGTGGTCTCGCGGGCACCGGTAGTATAGACGCTGACATTTTCAACGGATTCATAACGGCCGGCCTATTATTTGCCGTTTGAATGTTTTCACTACTTATATGTTTTAGTAGCGATCCGTGCGCTGCCGGTGTAGTAGTTTGAGGTACCGGTGCCGATGGTCTACGAAATTGGGTGACATTGAGCGCTGGTGGCGGCATCGGTGTTGTCGTGTACTTCCGGTAGTTTTCATTACTTCTGTACGAATAGAAAACTGTCGGCGCTATGGTTGTGGTGGTGGTGGTCGCGGCACTTGTAGTTTTGGGCGCCGGGTGTTGCGTGTAGTTGAAGGGAAAGTATGTCAACGGCTCTAACCGTAACTCCGAGTCCAATGTCTTAATGTATTTCACTAATGGATTCAAATCCACAAACTTTTGGGCATTTATTTTGTAATACTTGTGTGGATTGGGGTTCGGGTGCTGTACGCGCGCCATACGTGTCATGACTACCGGTGCCGTCGATGTCTTATAACTAACGCTAACATTGTTTGCATTTGTATTAAACTTATTATTATTACTACTAATAGCTATTGAATTAACTTTTGTCTCATTACTAGTCGTAAGGTTTGTATTGCGTTTCAAATCAAACTTTTGTATAGATATGGGTGCTGTCGATGAGGTGGTGGTTGTGGTCGACGTCAGCACTACCGGTGCCGTCTGTGGCCCCGTAGACACCGACTCCGTCCGGACGGTACTGACAAACTTGATCTCCAGTTCCTTGGGTTGAGTCATGTCTTTGCGGATCTGATCGCTCATGAGCTCCGACTCGTCGTCGTCGTCAAAGTGGACTACTTTCGGTCCACGACTACCAGTCCTCTCGTAGTCATCATACCTGAGCTCCTTTCGCATCATATGAATGCCCTTTTCTCTGCCATTAACCGGTTTTTCCTACGAAATGCAAACATAAAAAAACTTTTTGAGAGAAAAAACTTATGCAATAAAAAAGTTTTTGCTTTTATTTTTGATACACGAAAACAACAACAAAATCATATGAAATAGTTTTTTCTCATTGCTTAGGAAACAGCAAAAACATACAGCGATTCGTATACGAAATGAGTTGAATGCGAGTAAAAATAAAATTAATTATTCAAAAGAAAACTAATTTAAATAAACTGGTGTTTCGGGGGCTATGTATGCGAGCCCTGTGTATGAGACTTAATAGCAAACAAAATACGAGTAAAAAAACAATTTCCAAAATAGCAGCAAAAAATTTATATCAAATTTTATCAAAATAACTAAAA